AAAAAAAAAAAAAAAAGAGGGGAAACTACAAAAAAATTATCTTAAAATGTTAAGCTGTGAGCGGGATGGGGTTCTCCACACAGTCTTTACAACTGGATTATTCACCCCAAAATTTGTACATAATTTTACGGCAATTTCTTTCATCATAAATATCATCATTTTTCGTACATTTTTACTGAAGCAAAATCAGCATTTTTGGGGGGTGGAAATGCTGCGTGAAAAAGTAGGCACGGCTTCTTAGCAAAATAAGCATTTTTTTTTTTCATGTATAATTGTACTATACCCACGGGAAGGGGGTGATCGTACGTGACGGGAAAAAAAAACAGATAACGTTGGGACGAATGGTATACAAAAAATGATCGCATCGTAAAAAGCAAGATTGTTGAAAAAAAAAAAAAATAAATAAATAAACGCACGTCAGGACATACGTAAATAAATACTCGTGCTCGATCATGGACCTGTTTTAGCAGCACAGGGGGACACGTGGAAAACACACAATTTTGCAAAAACACAAATATTTAGGGAAGGTCAAATTGCTAACCTGTTCAGCTCAGTGGACAAATACATTTCAGGCAAAAGGATAAGAAACCGCGCTCCCCTGAAGCATTTTTACAAAACAGACAAGGGAACATGAAGTAAGGCCGAGGGGAAATCACCAACGCAGGAAGGGGGCGCGACGCATGCTTTGTCGTGTCCATATTTATGCTATTACATGCCCGTTGTGATGTACCCGTGTGGGCTGGCCACATTTCATTTCGTTGGACGCCGCCCTATTTCTCTCCCTTTTTCCCCACTTCGTTTTATCTCTTTTTCTTAACGATTTTCCCCCCTCAGATTTTTCAAGCCTAAGAAGGAGCACACGCTGGACGACGCATATGGTAATAACGTTTTTCGGGCACAAAAAAAAAAGGAACACCATATAGGGTGTGTTTCTTTTAAGAGTTCATGTGTTTATCCCTTCGCCCCCATTTTTTATTAATCATCTAAGTGCCCGGTGCATCGACACAGAACACCGCACGTGGAAAAGTGCAAGAGTACGGCAAATTAACATGCCCCTTTGTACGAACACACGCGCATCCCTTTGCAGGAAACCTGGAAAAGAGCGTAAAAAGCATTGATGATAATATTGACAGATATAATAAGGAGCTAAAGATAATTAAGCAAAAAATTGAGGAGGAAACGAAAAAGAAGCCAGTCAATCAACATGCCATTAACAACTTAAGAAACAAAGCTGCGATCATCATTAAGAGAAAAAAAACGTATGAAAGCAATAAAGAAAATACACTCGGAATTCAATTCAATATAGACCAAATCAAATATGCAAATGATAATGTGCAAATGTCAATTGATACATGTAAGGCTCTGGAGAGCACAAGCAAAATTATGAAAAAAAATATGAAAAAAGTGAACATTGGAAAAATAGAAAAATTGCAGGATGACCTTTTTGATTATATGGAAGAGGCAAAAGAAATTGGGGAAATTTTGTCTTCCTCCTATGATATACCCCTAGAGTTGGACGAAAATGAAATCGATGCAGAGTTGTCCCTAATCGAGGACAGCATACTAGACGAACAGGTCGAGGATAACCTTACTGATTATTTGGAGAACGACAAGGTAGATGAGAAACAGGAAAAGACACCGGAGCAGGAAATACCTGCCACGGAAGAACACACAGAACTTGTTAAGAATAAAGCAAAGCATAGTGAAAATTATTATACACAGAAGGAGAGCTAAGGAGGAAAAGGCAACAATCAGTGGTATGAATGTGCTTTGCAATTAAAATGGGTCAAGTGAAAAAAAAGGAACACAAAAAAAAGGACATAGAGGGGGGGAGAGCGTTAGTCACTGCACGTGTCTTCTACGCGCATTCGCTGTGTACACAGGTATGTGCATATCCCGAAAGGTAAGCATTTATTTACCTTTTCATTTGGGCTCAACGGCTGCGAGCCGTATATTTTTTGCTTCAACGCCCTCGCATGGGCACAGTAAGCCGTTTAATATTTGAAAACGTTACCATAGGGCATTTACTATATTCTGTGTGCACCCCTGCTGAATTAATGTAGAGGGCATTCCTTTTTTTTTGCCCTTATATTTTTTTTTTTTGTAAATTATCGGATCATTTTAACACCTTTTTTATGCCCAAAGTGTGGCACCCGTATGAATATTCGTCGCGTCGTAAGATAAGTTTGTCCGATCAGGAGCACAAATTTGTAAGGAATGCATAGCAGAGATGGACATTAAGGATGCCATGTCAGTAGGCATTACTCCTGCCACTGCTACGTTTTAAGATGAATCGAGGGCGAAACAGCACACGAGGAATTTCACAAATACAGGAAAAAAAAAAATATATTTTTTTCCTTTCGATTAGTTTTAAGTATCATTTTGGGTAATTATGTATACAAATTCACGAAAAAAAAATTGGAGCAAACGGTTTGGAGGTGGTTGTGCTGGTATGCACACGGGGAAGCAGCATGTTGAATGGTTGCGTTTGGCTAGGCTATGACTATAAGGGGCAGGCTCGGGACGCACACGTGTGGAATAATACGCGTCCGAATATGCAAACGTGAAGGTATATACTTCCCTGCGTGGCGATTAGGAATCCTTCTTAAAAATCTTGGAGGGCTTATACTTGCTGTCCTGTTCGGGCGAGCACATGAAGGGCCAGTAATCGTGCAAACATTTCTCGAAGACGTGATTTATAAACTGATGGGTGTTCTTGGTGCAAGGCTTGTACTCGTTCAGAGATGAATACACATTATTATATATGCATTTATTTTTCGGAGTAGCCCTAATTGAGGAGCTTTTAAAATTAGTAAACACATCATGGTCGGGCGAAAAATATTTGCTGTTAAAATAGCTGCACTGATTGCTCATATTATAGGCTCTTATTTCGGAACAAGCAATGTGGTGGCAATTGTACATGTCTATATTCGCCCTTGCAAAATCAAAGGCATGTATAAGTTCATGCGTTAGTATATATTTGAGCTTATAATAATTGTTAATATTATTTGAACAAAGCCAAATGGTGTTGTTTATAGGGTTGTAACCACCTACGTAATTTGATTTACTTTCCTTGGAAGGAGCAGTGATTGTATTATTAGTATACCTAATGGGGGACGATTCCGAGCATGAGCAATTTTCCTTGCTCTTTGGAAGAAAATTATTTTTATTATTCACGAAAACATCACCAACTTTGTACGGGGGAATAAAGAAGCTCACCACCTTTTGAAAAAATGTCTTCTTCTGCTCTTTATTATTAGGGCAATTTATGTATATAACGTTAATTGGGCGATTTAACGCAGATAATGCATCAACTAAAATTTTAACTCTATAATTGTTCAATACAAAGTACATAAAAATTTGCAACTTTATTTTGTCGTAAGGACTTATGTCGTCATTAAAGTTGGTCACAAATTTGTTTTCCTTTTTTCTTCGTGCGCTGTCTGGAGGGGGAGCACTCTGCGGGGTGAATTCCTTCGAAAGGGGGGATTTTGGCAAGGAGTTATCTGAAGGGAAGTTATTCGGAGAGTGCTTCTCTGAGGGGAAGTTCTGTGGAAGTTCCCCTTTTGTTAAACGCGTTCCGTCGGGGTAAATTTTGTGTTCCCTGTCTGCGCTACTCCGTGATTTGTTAGTCTTGCTCGCCACGCCATTCTCCGAGTTAGCGTTTATTTGTTTCTCTTCTGTCTGGGGAGCATTTTCTTCAGCATTTTTATTCGTTGTTCCGCTTTTATCGCTACTCCCGAGTGTGGTTTCCTCGCCTGGGTTCATCGTGGGGGTCCTATCTGTCCCTCCATCAGGTGTGACGTTTTTATAGTGGTGAACAAATCCACCATTTTTTTGAAGCATTGATTTGAAATGATCATTTATGTTATAATTGATTACGAACAGATCATTATAATTCGGCCATTTGCACACGTTTTTATATTTCAGTGAGTATTGTACCAAAAATAACATGTCACTGAGTTTCTTTTCTTTTCCATTTCTAAGAAGAATTTTTTCTACACTCTTTTTTAAATAAAATTGGTGAATTTCTTTACCTATTTGTTTAATTTTTTCCTTTCCTCGTTCCACCCTCTTGCGTAGCTCTTCCATCTTTTGCTTTATACTCAGCGGAATGGACATAAATGGGTGAAGCTTTTACTCTTTTCCCTGAACATGCTTTCCAATTGTTCCCTTGCCTGTTCGATTTTTCCCTTTCATGTTGTATGCAGCACCTCTTTTGCGCTTTTCCAAAGGGGCATAAAAAGAGATATATATCCGGGGGAGGGGAAATAATAGCCATGATGGCATCCATGAAGAGAAAAAAAAAAAATCAAATTACACCTGTGCGAGGGTTAATACCCAATGGAGCAAACCGAGCAAACAAAGCAGTACCAACGGAAAGAAACCAAAATGAATAAAACGAACTGCAAAGAGAGCAGCCAACAAGGGAAATATTATTAAGCGTTGCAAAAGTGTAGATAACTTATAACCTATACGAAATGGGAAAAAAAATGGAGGAAAAAAAAGAAGTGTTGTTTCCAAATCTGTGCATATAGAAAATTTTCGAAAAGCAAAGATGTTTCCTCCTTGTGCTATTTGGAATAATGCCTCTTTTGTCTGCGTTATGCAGCATTCCGATTTGAGAAATAATTAACAGTACGTTTAAGAAGGCAAACAAATTGGGGCATACGATAAATACTCTCCCACCATTCGGTGTGAGCGTGCACGTCGTTGCCAATTTTGAGGAGTGCCTCTTCGTGCTGGAAAAAATGTATATTCACATATGTAGATTCAAAATAGTTGATGTTCCCTATGAACGTTTTAATGTTGCAAAAAGGGAGGAAATCGTTTACGTGCCCCCTTTTCCGTTTCGAATGAAATTTTAGCGTCCTGTGTGATTAATGTGTAGGGGACACCTTTTTGTTCTTTTTAGCTTTCTATAGCTTTTGTTTAGCTTTTAACGTGCTATGGAAACATGCGCAGTCAAGATACGTTTGAGCTTGGGATCATTCTCTTCAAGTTCGACTGAGCCCGAAGCGACGTTTGCTTGTATCAATTCCCGTTTCTCGTTTTGCGAGTTCCTTCTACATATGGGAAAGATTGCCTCTTTTGCGTGATCCGCCGCTGATTCTCTCTTTCATTTCCGTGACAGCAGTAAAAAGACCCCAATTTGAGCAGGTCCAAGGTAAGGTGCATTGAGGATATTACTTCCGTCCGGAAGCGACGCGGAGTGGCGAATTTCAAAAAAGGGGACTCTTAGAAAGAAGGGGATACCTTTCCAAATATAATTTTCCAACTTTGTGATTTTTCCGTTCTATCATGTGACAGCTTAATATGTTGTCCGCTTAAAATTGCAAAAGCTCTCGTTGAGGGGGAGGTTGTTTCTGCTTTGCAGGGGGGGCGCCTCCCTGCCTTCCATTCGTGGTTTTTGTCAGAATGGAGAAAAAAACAACGGAGACACATGTGTATATATACATATTGCCATTACACATTTGCGTTTTTTTGGACCTATTTAATAAGAATAAAAAATGAAGAAAGTGGGGGCGGAGAAGCAAAGTTTTAACCTTTTAAGAGGAAATTATACTGTAAAGGGTTGTTTTTTTTTTTTTTTTTTTTTTTTGAACCAAATTAAGCATTTTTAATCAGAAGAGAGGAAAAGTGTGGCAAAAATCATGCATGTTGCAATATGAACATAACTTCATTTTTTAACAACTAAATAACAGAAAAAAAAAAGGCAAAGTGGTATATTTTCTACAAAGCGAAATATATGCATTTTGAAGCTTACACGATAAACTCTTTTTGACGAAAAAAAAAAAAAACTCTTAAAACGGTAAGGATGTCCTTCCCATGTTGCCTTCTAACACATCAGTAAAGAAGGTGAAATGTCCAAACAGACGTGAACCATTTTCGAAGATGCGTATTTGTGTGTACATATACGTGTATATATTTTGTTTTTTTTTTTACATTTTTTCGTTTTTTTTTTCCCTTTTGCGTGTCTGCAAGGTTTAAATGTGAGCAATTATGATTTTGCGCCAGCGAGCGATGAGAAATGAGGAAGCGGCCAAATGTAAAGAACCATATATTTCCTCTGAGGGCGAACGGGATGACTTGACGTGTGCTCACTCATGCGCATATATATATATATGCATATGTGGAGATATAAACGTATGCGCATATTATTCACGCATATGTGCATAGCATATACACGAACACATTTTGCGCGCATACGCAGCCTCCTTAATGAAACGTTAAAAAAAAAAAATACATATATAATAGTGGCAAAATATAACAAAGACAAAAGACAAAATGAACACACAATTTTTATTAGAATTTTTCTTCATCGCATGCTGACCCCCGTAATGTTATCAAAGCAATATTTGGTAAGTCGGAATAACATCTTCTTTAAGCGTTTCCCATTTTTATTATATGCCATATTATTCTCGCCGAGTGGGGGAAAAAATCGCATCAGCTTTTGTTGCAAATGAATATATTGTACATAAATGCGAAACACTTTTTTCGCAAATCCGAAGCACATATTTTTGTAAAATTCACCAACGCAAACCGCAAGATTTCAAGCGCCACTAACTCCGAGCCATTATTAACAACCGTAACAGAGTAAAGGAAGGACATGGGCGAGTAAAACAAATTAAGCGCGGCATGGGACTCGCTGCAGAGGTGACCCATGATTTGTAATTTGTAACTCACGATGTACAACGCGCTTTCATGTCCTGATGAACAATCGCGTTTCCAAATGCAAGGGGGAGGAAGCCAGTCTACATTGTGACGCTTAAAAAGGTACAGAGAGGAGGGAATAAGTTAAAGTGTACATAAATTATACACTCTTAAAAAGAAAAAAAAAAATTCGCACATGAGGAAATATGCATATGCCAACATGTATACATTTACCTACATACCTAGAAACTGCATTTTTGCTACTTCCATTTTTCATTTTATTGCCGTTCCATTTTTCATAAAATTCTTAATCACGGCTAATGTTTCCCCTAAATGGTGTTCCAAAATGCAAAATGAGCGAGCGAAGAGAAGCGCTGTTACGCGCCTTTTCGCCTACATAGTACGAGTGTTTCCCAGTAATGATGCCTCATTATGTATATATGCATATGAATCTGTTTGAGCGCGTGTACATTTATTTACCCCTTTTCTTTAAACGCAATATAGGTAATACTTTTTTTATCGCTCCCCTTTTTTGACAGTACTGCGGAGCTCGGTCAGAATCGTCGCTGCGTGACTTGTTCCCACTGGTGAAGCCATACATTGAGGGGGAAGTCTCGTACTCGTGAGACATTGCCCCGCTGTTTGGGGTTACTAGGGAAGCAAAGAGGTACCTAGATACGTGGGGATATATTTACCTATTTATATATACACTAACGTTTAACAGTGCAGATCAGTACTGCCTGCCGGCTGACTTCCCCGCGCTTGCGAGTCCTGATTGAAGAACATCAGATAGAGAACGGCTCGGGCTAAGGGCGAATTGGGGGAGATACGGAAGGTGGGCAAGATTCTCACCGGCAGAAAAGGGGTCGGGATATAACTATGTGCTAGACCATTGTCCCATAGAAGTTTCTTTGCCGTATGGGGGTGGGGACCTTTTAACAGGGCTGCGCATGCGTAGGTACATAGAATATTCACCTTGCGTTGTGCACTGATGTCAGTGCTTAACCCGGTCGTTGTTTTTATTCTTCCCCTTTTTTTTTGTGAGAACCCGTAACGTTGTAACCGGCCACTTTGATCCCACCTGAAGAGTCGGAGAAACCAACCATGAAGTCGCCAGAAGCATCAATGCATGAAGCGTATAAGAGCTTCTGCTCACAACATCCCCTGAAGAAGTTGTCCATGCCGAAGAGCGATCTGGTATGGTCCTACTACGACATTAACAGCAGAAATGAAAACATAGTGATCTTTTTGCATGGGATATGTGGGACCGCTGGGTGTTACTTTTACCAACTAGACGCATTGGCAAACTTAGGGTTCCGAGTTATATCCTTTCAGTACCCATGTTATAATTACCTAAAGGACTGGATAAAAAATATGTGTAACATATTGGAGTATTTAAATATAAAGAAGGCACATTTTTTTGCCTCGGATTTGGGTGGATACTTAATGCAGTTGTATGCAAAATTGTACCCGTCCAAAGTGGAGTCTTTAATGCTGTGCAACTCGTACAGAAGGACAGATGACTTTGCTGCAGTTGCAGCGTTCAGAAATGTCTACGGGAAATTATATAGCTTTCTGCCCCATGTGTTATTAAAAAAAATCATGTTGGAAAATTATATTTATGTAAATTATGTGAATATAGATTTGAAGGAGAAAAATTCACTAGAGTTCATGAGTAACGAAGTGGACTTAATATCTTCTGCAGACTTAGGGGGAAGAATAAGTTTGCAGCTATCGTCAGAAAGCGTTGACAGGATTCATATTAACGATAGCAGTATCACCATTCTGCAGACATTAAATAATACCTATGCAGATAGCCTAAATGAGGACATGAAAAATGCCTACCCGTATGCTAAACATGCGATATTGAAATCGGGGGGTTGCTTTCCTTATCTCAGTAGACACGAAGAAGTCAATATGTACATTTTAGTTCACCTCAGGAATAACTGTAACGCTGGATTTGTGAAGGAGCAAATAATTAGCATGAGTTATATGCACCAACTGAAAACTGAAGAAGTGGACATTGAGAAGTTCGCTTCTGGGAGAAAATTTGGCAAACGGGCTGATGGGAATGATCAGAATATGACCAGTGAAGGGAAGTGTACGATTAGTATCATCAACCGGTGTGACACTAGTGCCTCTAATGATGATATGCATAAGGGTACAACATACCACAGCCAGGGTGGAGATCCTAACGGGACTACCTTTTCCTATAGGGGAAGGAGAAAAACGGAGGAAGGCAAAATAATACAGGGAGTACGTAACATCAGGCGGGATGGGCACCCAGAGGAACAGGAGGATCTTTTTAATCTGCATAAATATGGCAGCTATAATAGTTGTGACAATTTTAGCAGGAAGGATACCGTGACAAGCGAGGAGACCGTTAACAGCCACGAAAGGTTGGACGCGGCGGCTAGCGGTGGTCAGCCTCGTCTCCACCGCGGCGGTGCGTACAGGGAGGTGTACACCACAAATGACGATTTCCGCGCGGGGGGAATGAACGAAAAGTTTGGCCAAGAGCACCAGGACAGCTATGCGAAGCAGAATCCGTACGAAGAACAAAATGAAGATCACGCGAATGTGCAGAATTACGCGAGTGAGCCATTTCCAGAGGATTCCGACGCGGACATCGTGGACATAAATCACAATGACGGTTATTACAAAAATGGTTATCAGCACGTGAGCAGAAATGTGAAGCGCGAGGAAGATGTCTATGGCAGCCCTGATGTCGAATATGTGTACACGAGCAACGAGGACATCCAATCAACCGGGCGAAATGTGCGTAACTCTGAGGAACGCTACAACAACGAGTCTTTAAATTATGCCGACAAGTGTAATGAAAATGACCCGCGATATGGCCGCGCAAATGTTAATAAAAATGACATTTTCTGCCATTTTTAGCGTGTTCCCATGGGTGTTTTGTTTGTGTATATCCCTTGGGAGGGAACCCCCCTTTCCCCTATTCTGTTTAGTTTACTCGCTTTGCAGCTTTATATATGCTTCCTGCGGAACTGGTGATGAAGCGGGAAAGGGTGAACTCATGGCACCTTTTTTTTGAATTCGCTTTTGCCTCCCGATTTGGCGCTTCCCCGTTCTTTTGCATTTTGTAATTTTGCACCTTTTGTGAATTTGTTTTGTTACACTGTCTTTAGGCCATGGGCGAATTGGCGCTGCTCGGATTGGTACTACATGATTTGGCAGTGTCATTTTGCTGCACCACTTTGCTGTGCCACTGGTGGATGGGCCATCCTTGGAGAAATTTTTGCGCGCGAAATTTTACCACTCCTTGAGGCCCATCCTCCGAATGACCACAAGTTTGAATTTGCATACGTACAATTGAATAGGTACGTGTGACGCGTTTTACAATAAATATAAAGAAAGAGGAAACGAAATTGTGTAAACACTTTCTTTTCTGCATTTCTTCCCCGTTTTTTTCTTTTTTTTTGTCCAGATTTGTGTACACAAGTGAAAAAAACTTGCATGTTTTTTTTTT